GATTTTAATTTATAAAAAAAATTCATACCTTATAATTCAATATTTTTCATCCTCACTTTAATTAAATAATAAAAAATATAAATAATTATTAAAAATTATTTTTTGCATGAAATTATCTTTGGGTAAATGAGTTTTATGAGTCGGTGCAAATTTTTTTGAATTGCTTCATTAGTTTCGAAAATATGACTGAAAACGCAAAAGCGAAATTAACATTAAGGGGTACGAACTTTGAATCGCTCTCCTGACCAAACTATGGGGACCACATTTCCCAGATTGCGGCTACCCCCTATATTTTGAAGATAAGAAATCCAAATATGTAAAAAAAAATGCATGTTTATTCAGAGAAAGTACGTTTTTGTGTCTGATTTCGTAACTTAATTAATAGTTAGCGCTGATTAATTAGCATATTTGAGGTCACCCCCAGGAACCATTAAGATTGACACTTAGTTTGTGAAATCCGATCATTAGAACGAAAGTTATTCAGTGTGATTCGTTTTTTTTTTTTTGCGGACTGTACAACAGTACTGTCAGTAAGAAAATAATTTTTCAGCTATACAATAATTTTTCCGCTGTTAGGTTTTTCGCAACTTCATGTTCCTCAGGAGTTGTAATGGGCCTTTTTCTTTCTTCTCTAATACTCTTTCATGCTTTCTTTTTCATTTTTTCTTTCTTTTCATTTGTAGCTTTAGCAATTCCATCTTTCTCAGGTGTATGAGTTAATATGCGTGATGAGCGATCAACCATTTAATAAAAAAAAAAATTTAAGGAAAAAATTTATAAATTAATTATGGAAAATTAAATAATAATAATTTTAAATGCATATATATTTTTCAAACGCATAATATCATGAGGATAATAATCTTAATACTATGTAGGGGCACATGTGAACTGTTCACAACTGCCCCAGATGTTTTGTTCACAAGTGCCCCATCTTCCTTCTTAAACCTAACTTGAAAAATAAAGAATTTTTAATTGAGAATTAAAAAAGAATAATTGTCATAAACTTACCTAAATGTTCATATAATGGTCTGCAATAGTTAATTTTAGCTTATTAGTTGATTTATACTATGCTTTCACTTGAAGAAGTGAGCGATTAAAATATATACAACACCAGCTGATACAAAGAAATTGTCAGAATAGAACAACAAAATTTCTCATTGCTCTGAAAGTTTAGCAAAGAGTTAAGACTAGTACTGGTATCAATTGAAAATTTTTCAAGATTTTTTATTTCAAATCATATTGGTAAAGCATACCATGTTCACTTGTGCCCCCTTCTCCCCTATGTATATAAACAATAGCCTTTAAATGAGGAAATTCGGAATCAATATTATGTATTAAAACATGGCCCCATATCTCCCCTTAATATTGACCCATAATATTCAAATTGGACCACGTATTATATTAACGGGTATTAGTGTACCCTACCAGAGGAAATAATTATAGGCTTATTAGGGGGTACACTATTGTGTCCTATAAGTTACCATGTATGTATATATATATTAGTGTGTTGAATAGCGTTAAAATGAGGAAATTCGAAGTCAATATTCTGTGTTATAACATGGCCCTATATTTCCCCTTAATCTTGTCCCATAATATTCATATTGGACGAGGTATTATATTACCGGGTGTTAGTGTACCTTACTAGAGGAAATAATTATAGGCTTAATAGGGGGGCCCACAATGCTGTCCTATAAGTTACAATGTAAGTATATGTATAATAGTGTGTTGAAAGCGTTAAAAGGAGAAAAATCGAAATCGATATACTGTATTACAGTATCATAAGTGGGAGCTAATATAAGAAAATATAGCTTTTCTTTAAACGTTAATGAACCACTACTCGTCATATAACTTTTCACATCATTGCAAAATCTTAGAAAATCATCCAAATTATTAGACTCACTGTACGGTTTTATGTAAAATTAGAAGGTGATACTATACAGCATTATTATTTTTACGCGGCTGAAACCCATTTATACTAGTTTATGTTCATGCATCATGAGGTTAACATTGTAATTGCAATACGTTATAAATAAGGAGTATATAAGAAAACTCCTTAATAAAAACCCATTACATGTATGTTTAAATATTAAAATATTGCCTATAAACTCGTGAAAAACGTGCCATTATTAAAACACTACAGTGAGTCTAATAATTTGGTGTAAATATTATAATATACTAACATGATATAATAAATATTCTATGTTTATATAATATATCATCTAATTTATCCTATCGTTTAATTTATATTATATGTCGTCTAATTTAACCCATTGATACACGAACATAAGGAAGTGCAAAGCGGTTTCAGCCGCGTAAAAACAATGATGAATGAGATCTCCTGATAATCTTACATTCTATGTCTAATAAATTGGCCAGGGACTGTAGAATGACAGGTGTTAAAATCCGTAAACGTCCTGTAGTGTGGCAATTTGTGAATGTCCCCCCAGAAGACGCCTTGGATAGCCTTGCAAATTCTAAAAAGCAAGAAGGCGGCCGTCATCATTCGAGATCGAAATAGCAACTTCCAGCATCTCCACAGAGCGACTTACTTTCTTCTCTCTCTCTCTTTATCGCCCTCTCCTCATCTTCCGCAGCCTCTAAACTTTCCGTGAGTATTTATTTACCTTTCACATCTGTAATAAGTCTTCTTTTTGATATTTTAGAATTAAAATGTATGCTCCAATTGCTTGATCACGAATTCAAGAGGGTTTAGAATGAAGAAGCAAATGTCGTTATTTGAATAAACTTTGTGATCAAACTGCATATTTATTTTTTAAAGGAATTACAGTCCCTGACCAAATGATTAGACACACTATAAGATTCTATGTAAAATCTTAATTATCAGTTGATACTATACATCTATATTGTTTTTACGTGGTTTGCACTTGTTTACGTTCGTGTATCAATTGGGGTTAACATTGTAATGCAATACATTAAAAATAAATACAAAAAGAAAGTATATAAAAAAATCTCCTGCATATAAACCCATAACATGCGTATTTAAATATAAAAGTATTGCATATAAACATGTGTAGAAAGTTTAATTATTAAAAAGCTACATTGCTTCTAGTAATTTGGTCCAATTTTTATAATATACTAATATAATACGTGATATAATAAATAATCCATATTTATGTAGTATATCGTCTAATTTATCCAATCGGGGAATTTTCATTTATCGTCTAATTAAACCAATTGATACACGAACGTAAACAAGTGCAAACCCATTTCAGTCTCGTGAAAACAATAAAGCTGTATAGCATAATTAATATTTAACATATAATCTTATAGTGGGTCCAATAATTTGGCCTGTATTCCAGTTTCTTTGAATGTTATTGGAACTTAAAGTATTTTTATAAACAAGTATGAATGATAGGCAATCAACGGGTGTTGGAGCATCCTCCTAACCATATGCAAAATCTTTAAGTATATAATTTGGATTTAAATTGAATGAACTTTTATTATTCGGTTTTCCATGGTCACACAGCTGCAAAGATTCTTTTCGTTTCTGAAATTTAAAATTTTTCATCCTGAATTATAATTACATTATTTTATGACTGTTAGCTATTGAATAAAAATATAATACAGCATTTCTTTTTAATTATTTAGCTTACATTATTTAAAATAGCGTTATGGGAACTACAAAGATTTAGCATGAAGAGAGAGGTAAAATAATAATAAAATAAAATAAATATTCATCGACAAGTGTACTTTCACTGAGGAAATTATGAAGAACGGTTAAATATTCAGGACTGTTAAACTTGAGATGTGTTAACCCACCCCCCTCCATAATGTTTACAGTGATAATAAAATGACAACTAAGCAATCAGTTTTCATAAAGAAAAAAAGAAAAAAAAACCGTTGCCAGCGTTTAAGACGGTTATAACATAATTATCTGGTCGTTTATTTACATCTTTTAAAAGAAACTGTTTATGCGTCGTAATCTAAGTTTTCCAATTGAAATAATATTTCTTAAAATATTCTTTCTTTGTCTTAATTTCAAAAACTTTAAACGTTCGGTGAGATGTTATTTATAATATACATTTACATGTTTTTTGAATTAACGGTATAGCATTTTCGACAAATTTGTACTGCCAAAGCTTTCGTTCAAATTGATAAACTCTCAACCAGGGTTGGCCACAACCGGAAAAAAAATATAAAGTAGTGACAAATAAAGAGTTTAATAAAAGGTGCTATTTCTAGGTGCTGCAGTTTCTATAATCTGTGTAAGAAGAACAAGAGTGGTGTCAGAACTATTTTATTATAGTTTTATTAAAGCGTGGGGATAAAATTCCTTTGCCTTTTATTATTTATCATTACCAAATTTCAAATAGAAATCATGCAAGTATACTCAAAATTAATGTGAATAAGTTATGTCAAGCAGTGTTGTCTCAGGGGAGAGAGCATTCTAATGAGGTGAGCCGGGTTTGAACCCAAACGATGGCTGGTTGATTCGAATTCCGCATCCAGCTTGCACTGACCACAGTGCTGACGTAAAATATTCTCAGTGATGGACGGATCCTGGGTTAGAGTCCGCCTTTTATCACGATAATCTAGGGAGGTTTTCGTGGTTTTCCTCTCCCTGTAACGTAAATGCGGGTTTGTTCCATCAAAAAGGCTTGCACGAATTTAAATTTCTCCTCATACTTGATCCAGGTGTTCTCTTGTTTTTTGGATTAGATTCAAAATTACAAGGCTACGGAGTTGAGCATTGGATATAAGTAAACCCAAAATTGGGTCGGCTGTTAAAATAAAAGAAAAGAAAAGAAGTAAAATCGGTTATAAAATAAAATAAGATTAGCTATGTCAAATTTAAAGTGATAGCAAATCTATATTAATAATCAACTATATAAATAATCTATATAAATCTAATGAACTGTATTAATTATCACTATTGCTTCGAAATTTTAAAGTAAGCATTTTCCTTTATGCTTAGCAACGGAACTAATTAGCAGGTATTCAATAATAATTATAATTTTTATAATGCTTTTATAAACAATATTAAATTAACAATTTTAAATTAATAACATCAAACGGGCTTTTAAAAAAAGGATAATTCACAGGCAGGGCACAGTTGTTTGAAAGCAATTTATTACAATAACGATAATTACCATTGCTTCGAAATTTTGAAGTAAGCATATTCTTTTATGCTTAGCAACGTAACCAGTTAGCAGGCATTCAGCAATAATTATAATTTTTACGATGCTTTAATGAACAATACTAAATTAACAATTTTGAATTAATAACATAAAAGAATTGAATTAATAACATAAAAGAATTGAATTAATAACATTAAATCAACTGTTAAAAAGGATAATTCCGAAATTTAGGTATAGTTGTTTGAAAGCAATTTATTAGTAACAAAAGCAATCATTATGATTGTCTAAAGATTTCCCAATATGCGTTTTCTTTTTTTGTTTAGCAAATAAACTAGATAGCAGGTATTCGGCAATAATTATAATTTTTACGAAGCTTTAATGAACACTATTAAATTAATAATTTTGAAGCATTAAATCAGCTATTAAAGAGGATAAAGTTAGGCACAGTTCTTTACTAGTAACAATACCGATATTCTATTGTTTCTAAATTTTACAGTATGCATTTTCTATTATGTTTAGCAACGAAACTAATTAGCCACGAATCCGACACAATGAAAACGAAGCTTGCCAACTTTTCCCTCTACCGTCTCCCACAGAGAAATATAAACATCGCTAGTCAATGCTGCTATATATAGCGACCACCTAGTTATAGCACAACAACTCAGCATCTCGGATGAGATGAGTGCAATAAAATAATGCAATTTTAAAGCAGAAAGAGAACGACCCCCTCGCTCCATTTCATCGTTCGTTTTTAGTGACTACAGCTACTGGAATTTCGATGAAACATTTTGTTCTAAGAAGATTCCAGATATTTCCGAGGACTCTTAAAAAAAATTCTTTTTATTGAGAATGAAAACATACATTGCTATCTCTTCATTTTCCCTAATTACCGAATCTTTATAGAACAGAAAATTCAAATAAAATGAAAAATTTTTAATATAAACTCTTCAGTTTCTTGATTTTATATTCTTATCCTTTGTTTAGTTTGAAATACTTCTGAGAACACTTAAAACAATTTTTCTTTACAAAGTTAAAGTCTATTGCATTTCTATGGAATTATATTTTTGCTAATTACTGAAAACATATCGAAATGAAAAATTAGAAAATTCAAACAAATTCTTGAATGAATGTTCTTTGCGTTATTTTAGCAGATACATATTTTTTTGAAAAATGTTTGTTTGTTTTTTAGTCAATTTTCTTCAAAGATGTATATTTCTAAATGAAAATCTGATTTTCTGTCATTGTTTAAAGCTTGAATCTCCGAAAAACACAACTACTTCTGAAAAATCTTAAGAATTTCTTTTTTTGTGGTTGACGTTGTTTATTAAATTAATGAACTAGTTTATTGCTAGTATCATGCAAATATTATTTTATGATTTGGTAAAGTAGAAATTTTATTCGACAAATTCAAAATTTTCATCCTGCCCAGAATATCAATAAATATAATTGAAAACAAGATAAGCTGGTTTTGAAACAATACTCTGCTTACTTCACAGTCATAGTAGTGTTCTGGAACTGGGCACCAGGTCCGTGAATTGGCTTCTATGAATTTGTTTTAGCACTTTTTTTCGAGGAAATAATGTAGGTAAGTGTAAAGAAACAAGTTGCTCAAAATTTTAGTTTTTTGTTAGCAGATGAGAGTAAAGTATTAGCATGAAGAAAAACTTCGTATTCTTTTTTTTTTTTTTTTTNTTTTTTTTTTTTTTTTTTTTTTTTTTTTTTTTTTTTTTTTTTTTTTTTTTTTTTTTGCAGGTTGAACAGTAGCAGCAATTGAAATCCCATTTTTTATTGTGCTTATTTCAGAGACAAATATCTTTATATAGATAAACTTATTTTATAAATGGACATGCGGATGATTCTTCTTTTCCTCTTTTCTTGTTCCTCCTGAACTTGATGGACAGAAAGCACTTGTTGGTACAAAGGATATCATTTATTTTAGATACACTAACATTTGTCTGGTAATATGTCAGGTTTTGGAATAGTTCCCGGCATTTATTCATAGTTCATTCGAAGTGACAGTTGCAGATAAAGTGAGACATGTTAGCTTTCATATCTGATTAACTTCAATTTTTCTTTTTCTTCATAACTTATTCACTTTATTGGAACAAATGTGATTAGAGGTATGTATGTGCATATGCGCTTTTGTTCTTCAGGCTATACACAAATTAAAAGCAAAATTCACGAAAATAAACTTACAAACGAAGAATTCTGAAATGTTTCAGACTGGAAACCAAAATAGAATAAATTGTTGAAGGTCATCATCATCATAATTGGCCAGAAAGTCCAACGTGAGCCTTCCTCTGAAGATTTCTCCATAACGACTTATCTCTGATCTCTAATTCTTTTCACTGATTGAAGACTCCACCGATTCAGCCCATCTCAGCAGCGGCCTTTTCCGCTTTCTTATTCCACTGTGTCTAAAAAGAAATATACTTTTTTTATTACGTTGTCTAATCACGTGGACCATCCAATTCATTCTATTTATCTTTATATATTTAATAATATCAGGTTGTTTATAAATCTTCCACAGTTCAAACTTAAATCTCCTACTCCAGTAATTGTTTTCATTTACACCACCCAGTATACTCCGCAAAATCTTTCTCTCAAGTATTTGCGATACAATTTTCCTCCAGTTCTGTCCAAGCTTCAGAAGCATTTGTCAAGAGTTTTGTAAATCAAGAACTTTGTTTTTCTAAATCTGTAAATTAAAAAGATTTCAGCTTCTAAATTTCGTTTTTTAAATCGTTTCCATGAGGTCTTCCGAAATTTTTCTTCAAAGGATTTCGTAACAAGAAGTTTTTGCAGGATAGAGGTGTCAACCCTAAGCCCCAACTTGGAGTCCCCTGATATAATCCCCAGGGGTAAGGTGCTACCCATACACTGAAAACCCATTTTAGTCGCCTTTTACGACATGGATGAGGGGTATTGTGACTATTCTTTCATACTAGGCTACCACACGAGTAAATTGTTGAAGGTCTCTCACGTTAATTCAATCTTAGATTAAAAAAATTATTTATTAAATATATTATTCGTTTGATAATATTTATGATCCTTGAGACATGAACTTTAATTGAACGCTGATTAATATAATATTAAACCTCCATAATCATCATATCTTCAAGTGTATAAAAATAAATACAACATAATAATGTTTTGAAAATTAAAGGTAATAATACTTTGCAACATGTCTACATCGAAATTGTTAAAACTTTTCGTTTATTAAGCTTATTACAAACCCCGTTGGGGACAAAATTGGGTACTTGCAACTCCAGAAGAAGAATACCGCTGAAATCACATGGTTGTGCCTAATCACTTGATTGTGCCTTGCATATTAACGTTAAGTTATTAATTTTGGTTTATTACCAAACTGAATCTATTTTCGGATCACATTTAATTAGATGCCTACAATAAACGTCACACAATTATGTCGAAACTGATTGGCTGCTGAATCGGGACAGAAACAAATACCACGATTTATCCACGCCTGACGTCTCTTGCAGATATCCAGTTGTGCGAGTTAAATAGTAATCCAATGCGTAAGAAGTGATAATACATTTATTTACATGTTATTTCAAACTAAGTAAACAATTCCTTTTTATAATTTTTTAAAAATTCACTGCAGCTTAAATTAATAATTTTAAATTTAATAATTTTAATTATTTAAAAATTTAAATTGATAATTTTAATTTAATAATTATTTTAAATTAACAGTGTATTCTAGTGGTTATCGACTATCGTTAATTTCCTAGATAAATACTCTCATAAGGAAATAATTTTCCTGCCATTTTTTTTACGTTAGAGCTTTTGAGAAAAATAAGTACTACTTATAGTTATCATAAGAAAAATAATTCTACTTTTTTTATATCCGGTCTTAAAGAAACAGTCATAAAAAAAAAAGATACATGTTTGCAAAATTTGGAAATTCCCTCCAGTCTGATTCTTTTAGTAACTTAAAGTATAACTCGTTTATGTCAGATTTCCACGCATTCCAGTGTTTATGGACGTTGACAGCGTTAATGATCCAATGAGGAGAGTTAACGCTAAACTGTCTGGACTTCGCGAATAGGGGAAAAAAATCTCGCCAAAAGTAGACGCTAAACATAGCTGTATTAAAAGGCATCCGAAACCCTGACTGCTTTTTTTTCTTCTTAAAGTTTAGTAATGTAAACAGCTGCCCGTGATTTTCCGACCTTGCCCTATATATCAGGTTGGCATTAGTTCTAAAACTACGACTAATAGCTATCTGGTTAGTGAATGAAGAAATAAAAATAGGGGGTGTTCATTCTCTTGTCGCGATAGAATCTAACATCTGTGTGTTTTGTCAATGTTAACTATTTGTGTCAATGAAAGATGCATTCTCGACAAAAAATAGTTTAAATTTTTTTTATTATAACCTTCGTTGAACAGCGCCGACCCAATGTTTTGGGTTTACGACTGCTAATGTTTAACTACGTAGCCTTGTCATTTTGAGCCCAATCCAGAAGACAAGGGAACTCCTGTATCAAGCATTGGGAGAAATTTGCCTTCGAGGAAGACTTTTTGATGGGACTAACCCGAATTTGCGTTAGAGAGGAAAACCACGAAAACCTCCCTCGGTTAGTCCGACGGCAAGGGGACTCTAGCCCATGATTCGTCTACCATTGAGGTTATTTCTCATCAGTGCTGTGGTCGGTGCAAGCCGGATGTGGAATTCGTATCGATTGGGATTCGAACCCGGTTCACCTCATTGGAAGGCGAATGCTCTATCCCCTGAGCCATCACGGCTCAAATAGTTAACATTAACATTACCAGCACCATGGCATATAATTACTGAAGATAAATAATAAAGGGAATAAGAAATTTTAAGTACTACTTTTTTAAGCATGCCTTAAAAAAAATTATTTTATGTGTAAAAAAATAAACGGACCACCCTTGATAACTTTTGATCTAATGATTGGAACCTCACGTTCTAGGACTCAACCTTCATGGCTCAAGGGAGGGATCTCAAATATGCTTATAAATAAGTGCAGACGATAATTTAAGTTACGAAACCAGAAACAAAAACGTACTTTCTCTGAATAAACCATATCTTTTTTTCGACGGATTTCTAACCTCCAAAATAGCCGCAATCTGGGAAATATAATCCTAAAGGGGGATCGATTTGATCAGGAGAGAGGTTGAAAGTTTGCACCCCTTAATGTTAATTTAATTTTTTCGTATTTCGCTATATCTCGGAAACTTTTAAAGCAAATTGAAAATTTTTTGCACGCAATTATAAAACTCGTTTGTCCAAAAGTAATTCCATGCAAAAAATAAATTTTAGTAAATATTTGTTATTTTTAATTATTTTATTAAATAATAGTAAAAAAAAACTGTAAGGTATAAAATTTTTTGCATTATTTTAAAGAATATAATTTAACATAGCAGAATACAAAGCAAATTAGGCCAAATAGTTTTTGAGAAATTGAATTTTGCATATCCGACTTTTTTGAAATTTTTTAAAATGCATGACGTCACATTTTTTATTTACTTACTTTTCCACTGTTCCTATTTACTTTCTCACTGTTGCAATTTCTATTTTTTTTCTTAAATTGCAACTCTAGATAGTGTTGCGCGTCGGTTAAGTGGGGAGTAAGCTGAGCTTGTTTTGATTAACGAAAATTCGTCATGTAGATGGATATGCGTCAGAATTTGTTTGTCAATCTCGCAGTTAATTTATCAGTACTGTTAAACTACTGAAAAGTCATAATATAACAATGATTTAAACCGTCATTCATGGCTCTCGAACTATTTGTTGCCGATTTCTTAACAATGCCGAATATCCTACTTTTCTGGTAACATATATACAAATAACGAAGAAAAAAATACCTGTTTGTTTCAGTTTATTTACTACTTAAAATAGAAAAAATAATAATGATACTCAAGGTAATTTGATTCTAAAAATTGTATGTTATATTTTTTAACTTCCTTGTTTTTTTCACAGGAACAGGTTGCGTATTTGGGGGAGAATAAACGAAAAGGTTCCAGCGAATTATTTTAGCGCGCAGAATAGAATATAAGTATGAGTGACGGGGAAGAGTACAGTCCTGTTGAATCTCCAACACTCGTACCCATAAGACGAAGGGATGATGTATGGCCACCAAGAGTAAGTATAAAAAAACTATTTCATTCCCTATTGATTGACTGATCAATCATTATTCACGAATGATTCATTATTAATTGATATTATTGATTTGAAAAAAAAAATAAACTTTTCGTGTAGAAAAGATTCTTACTCGAAGCAGGATTTCTACTATCCGGAAAAATGAAAAATAAATTGTTACAGTGGCTTGAAATCTTTTAGATTTAGTTTTGACATATACTGAGCTGCCAACTACTATGCATTTTGAAAAATATTTTATAGAGTGGTAGAAACTTAAGTTTTCAGAATTTATGGTCCTATTATAACATTTTAAGAGCTTCACCTTGGCAGAACAATTCACATGAACTCATGAATCATTTACGTGTAGTGATGTGGATGGTAAGTTTAAATAAAATTTATAAAACAAAGAATTACATTAAAACGAGCTTTACCACAAGAAGAAAATTTCCGAAAAATTTGACACATCTGCATGTAGATTTCTTTTAACTAGAAAACACTCACAGGTGAATGTCAACAATCACATAGTCGCTTTGGTGAATGTCCGATATATTTGTTATATCCGATTTAATATTAGTTTATTCTCTGATACTATTATATTTATTCGATATTTTAATGTCTGGTGAGGATAGATTAGGAGAAACATCAGTGTTCGGAGTACCGGTTAAATGCATACTGGGCACTGGCAATTGACATATAAAAAACATTGATGTAGGGTATACCGAGCATTGGCACTTAACTAGACCTAGTATATATTTCGAACATTCACCAAAGCTACTATTTGATTGTTAACATTCACCGTTGGATGTCAAGAACCACCTATTTCGGTCATTCACAGTAACATACTTTTTGATACATAAAAACTAGTTAAACTGATTTTCTTCCACCAATTTTTCTGCCACTTTTTAAATTTTTTCAAATTCTAGTCACCCTTATAAATTAGTCTATATAAAAAATTTTACACGAATTGATCTCAACATAAAAAAATTCTTGATCAAAATGTTACTTGACCTCTATGAACAGAAATTTCTTAAATGTTTAAGTATGAAAGTTTTTTTCATAATTTAACTTCATTTTTATTTCATTAAATAAACATACATTAAACAATACAAAAATACTTATAAATACAATAAAAAATACTTTTAAAAGCAATATAATGTATCTTTTATAATAAAATAAGAAAAAAAAATAATTAAAAAATTGTAAGTAAAAATTAACAGAAGTATTAGACGGCGAGATATAAAAGGCGGAAGTGATGTCATCATGGAAAGTCAAGGGGTGTTTATTTCTGACCGGGTGGAAAACGAAAATTTTTCGTAAATGGAAGTCAGCTTATTTCTACCCGCTCGCTAATTTTGATTTTAACTTCGGTTTCTGTTTATTATTTATTTTATTAGTTTTTTGAGTATGGCAACAATTATTATTTTTAATATTAGTTTTTAAGGATGGCAACCTTTATGAAATTTGTTATTCTGACGTATGTTATGACGTCACATACTATGATGTAATTAATATATAATTGTGAAACTAGTAGAAACCTTGAGTTGAGTTGTACAGTTGCTGCTGCTAATAAGAAATGTTATGTAGGGTGACGTTTTGATGGACTTATTTATTCCCGCTCGAACATTAGTATTACTTGTATTCAGATGGCCACGATTGTTATTTTCTACGTATATGTATTCTGATGGCTCCATCTAGTAATTAAAATATTTACTATTTTTTCAATGAAATTAGAAAATGTTTAAAAATTATATATAAATAAATAAATGGTGATATTTAATTTTGACGTCGGACTCACAACCTCAGAACAAAATTGCTTTCACAGGATACTAGTTTTTTGTTTTCGTTAACCAGTATCCTGTGAATGCACACAAATCAGAGGAAAACTTAAGGTTTTAATAAAATAAATTTGATCATTTTAAAAAATACTATATGTATTCTAATAGTGCCAGCTATACTTAAAATGTTAGAAAGAAACTATGTTAATAACTCTTCATTTTAGTTATTTTTTAACATAAATATAGTTAATATAAATGACTATAATTATTATTAACCTACTCGATATTAATTAACACATTTTAAATAAATTGATTCAATATTAAAATAAAAATTATATTTATTTTTAAAAAAAAACTTATAATAAAAAAAGTGAATTATTTATTCTGAATAAATTTTTTTTACGATTAGAAAATAATTAACTCTATTATTTGTATTCAATTACATATTAAATTTAATATATGTACTTAAATATTATCTCGTCGTCGACCATTTATGCCAAATATGGATTTGTATAATCAACTACTATATAAAAATAAATTTGAAAGATACTAAAAAATCTGCGATGTTGGCGAAAATGGAATAATACTTAAGTAATGTCAAAAATTTTAACTAAAACTACTCACATCCGGCATTTCATTACAATAAAAAAAAATTTAATTATTAATATGTTTGACATAAATTCGAAAAATATTACAACACTACATTGTCTGTCTTCATGAAAATTATGCAAAAATTAAAACTGAGCGTCTTAATCAATTTTAATTCTTTTTTTCCTTTGTGGAAAAATTTTGGCAAATAAGCTATTTTACAAATTAAAAAAAAAGTTAGATTATTTTTAAGCAAGGAAGTTATTTAACCGTTTTAAAAAGAATAGTGTAGAACTCATGAAGACTTTTTAACTGTGGCTTTTATATTTTAATCGGCTAAATAACTTTAAATTACAAAGCCTCTTTACTTAAAAAAAGATATTATCATAAAAAATTCTAACAAAATGTATTCCCAGAGTTGTTGTTGGCTCAAGGGATAGAGCATTCACCTCCCAATGAGGTGAACCAGATTCGAATCCCAGGGATGGCTGGTAGATACGAATTCCGCATAGACTACAGTGCTGACTTAATATATCCACATTGGTAGACAGATCATGGGTTAGAGTTCTCTTACCGTCAGACTAACCGTGGGAGGTTTTCGTGTTTTTCCTCTCTAACGCAAACGCAGTTTAGTTCCGTCTAAAAGTCCTCCACGAAGGTAAATTTCTCCCAGTTCCTTTGTCTTCTGGACTGGGTTCGAAATTACAAACCAACGGAGTTGAACATTAGTAGTTGCAAACCTGAAATTGGGTCGGCTGCTCAACGCCGGTTATAAAATAAAATATAATAAAATGTATTCTTTTTTTTTTCTTTTTGCAGACATCAAGCGTACGATATCTTCCAAAAACAGGCTTTTCTCCTACAATAGTGCGAGAAGGTAAGATTTTAATTCTTTCACACGAAACCAATCAGAGATTGGAAATTATGGTTCTGAGAAAAAATGGTTCAAAGTTGAACCATAATTGAACTTAAATTTGCTGAAAATTTAATAATAGGGGGCCGGAAAGTAATGTGTATTTGATATTTGTTATCAAGATTTTATTTTTAATCAATAATGTATTCACCCTCGTTATCAACAACCTTTCATTGCAGGATCGAAAAGGGAATCGAAAAAAGCGGTTTTTAAGTCTAAAGAATATTGAATGCTCCAACTTTCTGGTCCCCTTAATATTAAGCCATGTTTCCGTTTAAAGTGACCCGTAGTATTGGTAAATTAAGATTTAATTTTAACGAAAACAAGATGCAACTGCGTATCGTATTAAAAATACTGTGAGTAAGAAAAAGCCTTGAATAACTTTTTATCCAATGACCAGAGTTTTATGTACTAAGACTCAATTTTAATACCTAAGCATAAATAAAGAGCTCATCGTGGGTTCGATTCTCGCCAACCGAAGAATCCCCGCGTAGTAACTGATGACTGATGCACGTTAAATCTGTCGAGTCGCAAAGTCCTCCATATTCCCGTAACAAATCAAAACCTCTGGAGGTACTGATCCAGGACTTCTCTTGTCTTCTGGATTGGGTTAAAAATTACAAGGCTACTGAGTTGAACATTAGTAGCCGTAAACCCAAAATAGGGTCGGCTGTACAACGACGGATATAAAAAAATAATAATAAAGAGCTGAGTGGAAGAAGCAGGAAAGTTACACAGGGGAAAGTTCTTATTTCAGTCTTATTTAAATATATATCATTTATTAATATTACTAAATCTATTAGTAAAGAAAGAGTACTCAATGGAAGAAAGAGATAATTAGCACAGTTTGAGTTTTTTAGAGCAAGGTAAGTACTCTAGGAAACAAATATTGAACGAACAACCGTACAAAATCACTTGTTTGTCATCGAACGGTAGGAGCAAAACATTTTAAAGATTGGCAGATAATTAAGAAATAAGACTTTTAGAACTTTTTGTAATTTTGACAAAATTTTAAAAATCTCACGACGAGAGAAATGGAACAAAGTAGCGATTCATATGCGCTTTTGACTCATTTACATGTATAGTGGTGTGGAAAAAAAATTTTCATCAAATTTAGAAAATAAAGAATTGTAAACACAACAAAGAAAACAAAGAATCAAAACATAATTTTTCCAATTTTTCATTTTTTTCTCCAAAAAGAGTGAAAAATTTGCAGACATTTATATGGATACTTATTTTAGCTTTTCTAACAAATTATTTGTGGAAAAAAAATTATTTTATGAAAAAAATCAGATGCTATAAAAACCATTAAAGATTCTTAAATCCTCCTCCATAAAAAAATTTGGGTCGAATAGAGACATAACTCAAAACATTTGAGTTACGTCTTCAGAGATATACTAAAAACGTAAAGATTGAGCGAATTATCAATAAATAACGTTTAAAGCTCATTAACTCACAATCACCTAGATGTCACTTACCTGCTTCTTTCACTAAACTCTTCAAATAGGCTAATTAATTAGGACAACCGATATATTAAGTTGTTAAAATCAGACTCAAAATGTTAAAATCAGACTAAAAAAATGTATTTTCTCTAAATAAACATACTTTTTTAGACAGGCTTAGGAACCAAATATTTTTTGGATAATATTTTCTGGAATGGTCAAATTGTTTTGAAAGGTATAGCAAAGAGATCGACAGTTCGGAATCCTTTATATGAATTTCTCTTTTTCAGCGCGGAATTGAAAGTTTATGCACTCAATTATAAAATTAGTTTTATCAAAGATTTATCCAGCTTCATCCAAGCAAAAAAATTATTTTAATAATTATTTATTACTTTTTAATTATTTCTTTTTGTTAAATTATTATTTATAGTAATAGTCGAAAAAATTTGGAAAACTAAAATATAAGTATTTTTTACCATTTTAAATGAATCTGTTGAAAAATTATCAGAAGAGTACAAATTTTAAACATACGACTTTTTAAAATTAGATATCTCAAAAACTATTCAACCGATTTATTAGGTTAAATCATAATACACGAAAATACGATCATGGGATCAAAAGTTATTCAGAATGTTCACTTTTTTTCGTACTGTACATCAAATTTTCTTCATACTGTTGCTAAATGATCACTGAAATTTCTAATAGTAAACGCTTACAAGGAAACATAGAAGTCGTAGATTTCGTGAAAAATATTAAAGTTGTCAGTTAAAAGAAGAGAAATATCTAGTGAAAAATTATTTACTATTTACAGCTGAAAATCATTAATCTATTTGAACCGAGCGTTCTTTTTAAAGTTCAGTTTCCTTCTTTTGAAAAAAGTAGTAGCACAGGGAGTAACAGATAAGTAATTTCCAAATCGATGGGGCCATACGTTCATGTTTATAGTGTTAAAGATTATGTTTGAATCGAAAGGGAAAGAATGCCACCTTCTCAAAGCTGAAACACAGTTTTTACAATAGACTTACCAAATTTATAAGATTTCATAAATAATAAATTTCAATTTCGTTTGATTTTATGTCTATAGTGACAAACATAAGTTATCCTCTATCGAAAATTTAATTTAGGGAATAAATTTTGGAATGTAAAGAAAAATTAAAAAATCTCCTTTAAAAAACTGCTTTCATTGAGAATTTTAAAAGCCGTATTAATGAGTAATTTGCGTTTAATTTGTGCTTGTATTGTGTGTTTATAAAATGACACTTCAAGCAATTTTCAGACAGCTCTGTCAAAACATGAAGAAAAAAACTTTAGCAAATAGCATGATAATTTCCTAACAGCGATAACTTTACTTGTTAGGTTAAGTTAGGCTTATCTTTAATCAATGCCCTCTATTCTAATTCTGAAAAACGTGCAAAAGTTCAATACGAATACAAACTATGTTTTTGTGAATAGGAAAAGCGTTTATGATCTGATTTTTAATATTTAAAAAGTTATTAGACGCTACATTATTTGAGATAGCAAAAATTTGCAAAGATTTAGAATTATTTATGGCGTAACTACCACTAAAAATATTAAAAATCAATTTACTAGTAAATAAGACATGGTAATTTATCTCTATTTAGGGTTACCATTTGATAGATGAAGGTTGATATAGTAGATAATAAAGGTTGACATGGTCGTAAGCACTCTCCTCCTTATTGGTGACCCAGACGTGATATGAGACTCACCAACATCGATGGATGGTACACATTGAACAGTTGATTTGCTCTCAAAATAGGGCTCAAAAATCCCGTTAAGTAAATGCAATACTCCAGGCCAATAAATAAAGAAGGAAAGAAAATATAATGAGCAAAAGAAATATAAACAGCATTAATCAACTAGTCGTATTCGTTCATCAAATTCTATCAGAGATAAAACTCTGAAGGGATGTAATTCGGCGTAACTACCACTAAAAATATTAAAAACCAATTCACTAGTACATAAGACATGTTAACTTGATTCTTTTTTGAGGTACCTTTTGATAGATGAAGATTGACTTGGTCGAAGGCTCTCTCCTTATATAAATTGATTTTGATAATTTTCATCAAAATCTCGCCAAATAGACAATTTTTTTTTAAAAAAATTGTTCTTCAAAGCTGAGTGGATACTATACTCCCGGTTCTGGTGTTGTTTATTCAAAATACCAGATTATTCTTTTAACGGCAAGATGGTATGTATAGTAGTTCAAAATTACAGCTTTGCATCAAGTTTAAGACACCTAAACTGCGGCTTTTTTTAATTATTTTCCTTCGAAAAACAGTGCTAACACATTCTTCTTCCTGAGCTCTTTCATTTTGATTGCATCTACAGAATTCACACGAATAGAGCTATTAAATTAAATGAGTGTTTAATGAATTTAATTTACTTTTCTCTTAGGAGGACCAGGTAAAAGATTCGTATGGCCACCTCCGAAGCAAGGTCAAGACCAAATGCAGAACGATGTAGGTCTTTTAGGTCATGGCAAAGTAGGAGAAGCCTGGAATCCAGATGCCAATGCCCTAGGAAATAGACCACCAGCTTTTGCTCCAAGAACAATGCCAACTAAGCGATGCAACGACGATATATGGCCACCTAAAGACAGCGAGTACCAAGCAAACAGAAAACCATCACCACGACCTGTACAGACAGTGGGGCGATTTGAGGACTATATTCGGTGCCGCGCAGGACCAAATGTTCCCCCTACCTATAGGACGCCCCCTGGAACACAGCATATACTCGTACAACAACTGGAAGGCGAATATATACATGAATCTAAAACAACCACTACTGTAATGTCCAATAGTACATCTGTACAACAACAAAGGGTTGTCACTCAACCCCAGCCTGTTGCTAGGAGACCGGTAGAAGAGGAAGAAGAAGAAGAAGAGGAGGAGGAGGAGGAGGAAGAAGAAGAGGAGGAAGAAGAGGAAGAGAGTGAAGAAGAATAAACATTCATTTAAGAGAGGAGGAAAATTATTTTTATTATTCCATATGGATGTGATCAATTATATTACTTTTAGCTACGAAATATGCATCGAATTTCTTTCTGTTTTGGAGATCTTAATGAATATCGAGTTCAGAATTTGAAAAGAAAATGTAAATTTATTTTATTTAAGCATTAAAACTAACTAGTGATACATAAATAATTATAGAAGGAAACTTTTAAGGTATAAATTTACCCACAGTGCTGATTCTTAGAAGAAAAAAAATTTTGCTCCCAGTTTCTGAAAATTCTGGCTATAACATGCTTGAGAAGCATGCAGGAGTTACACAATGTTTACACGTAAACCTGAAACGATTAACGTTTTTCAAATGTGATATTATTTAAATGCAATTACAAACAATAAAAAATAAAAAAAATTGTTTTTGGAAAGAACAATTCTTGCTCTTACAGTTATATATAACTGTCCTATAAACTATTTCAAAGAAATATAAAACATAAATTGTTGTAAATTAATAAATAAGAACTGATTCTGATTTCGTAATCATTAGAGATCATTGAAAGTACTAACTCACAATAGTTTCATGCTAACGAAAAGTTCAAGACAATATCCAACCAGATGTTATGATTGTGCATTAAGAATTCTAGTTCTTATATGTTTTCGTACGTCCAATCCTTATTCCTTATTCTATTTCTTTTTTTTTTTTTTTTNCTAATTCTTTTTTTTTTTTTTTTTGTAAACATGTCCTTGCTAATTATTGCTTTAATTACTGATTGCTCTCACATAAAATTATAGCTCTTATTTCGATAACGAAATAATTTTCAAACAAAATCGGAAATTTAAACGATTTTTTCCAACAGGACATACATCATACTACAAGTGTAAACTTCTTCTGAAATTATTTGATCTCATGCCTCATATTCAGATGACTCGAAATTTAGTTAAATTGAATAAATAATGTTATATACGTAATTGCGTTTTGTTTTCTTTTGTATGCAATTTATTCTTATAGCAGACCTGCCTATTCTTAACAGCTTCCCTTACCAATTGTTTTGAAGAAAAAAAATGCAAAAAATCACCATATATTTTTTTTATCTCATTCATAAATACAATGAACTAAAAAAAAAACATAATACACAAGTTAAAAGTTGAAATTTTAATTCTTTTTTATGCGTAAAATATATTTAATGTACCGTCAGTTTACTATCCAAATTATCTCGGACAAATGAAAAGATTTAAATATTAGTCTTTGCATATGTTCACATCTTCATAATCTGAAAAATCATCTACATTACTTTCACTTTTGCTCGCGAACGCCATTTTTTTTTCTATGTAAATTAATACATGAATTTTATTTCTATGCAAATTCATCAACCATCGTTTATACAATTGTACAAAACACGCCTGCAGTCCCACAAATAGCAAAACTCCCAAACAAAAATTGGCAAACTTCCAATCACAGCAGATTATTATTGTTTTTTTTGTTTTGCTTCCTGCCGGATAAAAGCGTGATAAAACAAAACGTGTTGACGAAGTTTGCTATGCCCGAGTTTACTCGGTATAATAAACATTTGCAATCTATACATACCCGTGTTAACTCGGGATAATCAGGGAAGCTGTTAAAGATATGCAAAAGATGATTTTTTTAAAAATCTTTTTAATCTCCCTTTTCTTAATTTATTTTTTTGTCATCGTCTGAAGTCTTTTTTGAGTAATTATCGTCAGGTATTGCACAAAATGTATAGTTTTAAATTTTTTTTTAAAGCCTTAGGCATATCTGCTCTAATTGCGACTAGTTACAACCTTCCTATATATTATATATAGCTAATTTTCAATAATATTTATTTTTATTTCCATGTTGCTTTTTGCACTTTAGTATTGCCAATGACTTATTAAGGTATTCGACTGGGTGAAAATAAGCAATTTCGATTATTTTTTTATCCATATTTGAATTTTAGTTCATTAGTTCACCAAAACCCTTTAAATTTCTTAACTTCAATTTTTTTAAATGGAGTTACAGTTGTTTTTTCGTATACTGGCGAACGAAACCGAAAATAAACGAATGAAAAACTAAAATTTTGTTTGTTTATAGTGCGTATTGAGTACTTTGAGTATTTTAACCTTTTTTTTTTTTAAGTGAATAAAATATATTTTTAAGATTATTAAAATTTATTTTTAGAAATTAATTGTGGAATTATCAACTTTTTTGTTGTCAGACTTTTTTTACATTTCAGATTCTTGTATTTTAAATAAATTTTGTAAAGCAAGCTGATTTTGAGAAAATTTCTTTACGCTAACACTAATACAAGAAAAAGTTAATTATAGAATTGCTTGAACTTTTATATGTATATTTTGTGCAGTATTAGTGATGTTTTGAAGTAAAAGCTAAGGTCTAAGTAAGAATTTGTTATTTTTATCCAGGGCTAAAGAGAATAAAAGGGCTAGTTCATTCCTCTCTTGAACTGAAGCTACGATTTCCCTCCTCATGACGTCACGTTGTACACAGATCTCGGAGATTGCAAGCAAAGATATTATGAAAACTTTGCATCATTCTCTCTGTAAAAATAAGTTCGAATTTTTTTTTATATTAGATTTCAAACTTTATACGATTGACACATTATTTCCTTTGAAAAACATAGTTTGAAAAAATTTTCTTGGCTAAAATATTTAATTAAATACCATTTTAAGCTAATAAAAATATTTTACTAGTCGTCATAAATGACGCTGTAAATACTTCATTTTAAAATTTTCAGTTTTAACTTTTATTAGTAGACTTTTATTTTTTAACTTTTATTTTTAAAAACTTTTATTTTTATAAACTTTTGTTTTTATAAATTTTTATTTTTATTATTATTTTACTATAAAAAAAAAAGTTTAATGCATATATTGACACTTTTTTAGTTTCATATTGTTCGATAACAATACTTTGTAAAGTTGGGTTAAATTTAAAATCCTAATTTCAAAATATGCTGTTAATGGCAATTTGTTTATACTTAATCATTAGGAAACAACAACCTCAAACGCTACTTATTGTAACAAAATTATAATTTAGATTCATAATAATATTAGAAATTTTACAATTGTTTATTGATGTTTAAATTTGAAAGAATATATTTAAAGAAATCATAAACATTTAGAATAACTACATTGAAAACTACGCTATGAAATTCGGAGAATTTTAACTATTAATTATTTAAACTTTTCATTTAAGTTTTTATTTTCTTTGACTTTATCCATTTTTTAATTTTTTCGCCTGCCATTCTTTTTGAAGAAACTAGGCGGTTTCAATTTAGATGGCGAATTCTTATAAAAGTTCTGAAAGACAAAATAAGCGTATTACTGTTTTATTCACTGCGCGATATCGTCCCTCTAATTCACTTATAAGTTCTTTAATGGCACTTTTTGATTTTCTGTAAGATGTCCCATGTACACTTTGAAAAATATTCTCAAATTCCTGACACACATCCATTCATGTTGCTGACAATTAATCCTCCCTTAGATAGGAGAGCATTTGGTAAAGGTAGGGCAATTTTAAAATCATTCTAATCGGCAATCCAAGCAAACAATTTCTTATATCATCTTCATAATCTTCTTTCAAGAAATGCTTACTACATATTCGTGCATATTTAATATTAACTGAGCCTTTTCGTTTGCAACGTTGAAGCCATTCTTTACATAGTTGTTCATTTACTTTAGGGCACACGTGGAAAATTATATTTTTTTCTTTTGTGTTTCTATCAGAATCTTTGCAAGTTGCAATCGCACTAACTGGCATTTCGTTATTAATTTAAAATTTTTGTAATTCACTTAAAAAAATTGAAGGAAATCATTATAGAAAACAACGAATGTCTTTGAATATGTCACAAAAAGGAATGCTCCAATATTAGTTAGAGCAGCTTGTTAGACCGAACGCTCCGTTTTTGAAGTATAATTTCAAACTTTGCGTCACCATGACGTCACAGGCGTAAATTGGAGGTTTGGCGCAGCGAGAGTTTCTTCAAAGGAGTGAACCAGCCCTTCTATCTATCAAGTTTAAAGTGCGAATATTTGATTTTTTTTTCCTTCAAAATTCAAAATTAAACTTTATATTTAGTTCTATTTTACTGTTGTTTTGAATTTATTTTAAGATTTTAGTTCGAAGCACGGGTAATCACGTTATTGATCATGAAGAAAAATTATTATGAAATTTATGCATTACTTTTTGCTGTGCGTCTGTCCCAAGTAGCACAGGGATATTGTAACAGCTTTAGTCTACATCGACCGACATTGTCAATATTGGCGAAAATCGAAATTGTGTGTACGATATTGTACGATTCCCGTCGATTTCACATTAAAAATCTGTTTGTAAAACTTATCATTTAAAACTTTATTGTGTTCTTAAATCAAAATTAATCATTTAAAAGACAAAAAATGACTTCAAATTGTTATAATTCCAAAAAATAAGTTTAAAATATAAATTTAGAGATATCCGAACCACACCCGGACAATATTTGATATCAATATTGCAATCGTGTTTTTGTCACAACATCGATCGTTTTCTCTAAATACTGAAATCTACGATCTATTCCACTCGGAACCGTAACTATAACCCGTTAAGATGCTGTTTATAATTTTCCGCTACACCTGCGGTCTATTTATCTTTTCTCTACTTATATTTAAATCTAATTCCGTCTCATAAGATTTATACCTTAGCACATAATGCAAATGGAATAAAAATTATTTCGATTTAGCGAGCCCGAAAACTCAAACCAGCTGAAGATGAAGGGGAATTAATGCACCTTGTTGAAGTGAACGAATTCTCTGATCTTGGCAGGTATGTGCTGTTTTTAATATATATAATTAAATTATATATTGCAAGAATTACATTGATTTCCACCTTTATCTTGTCCAGGCTGCTTAACTATTTAATTATATCACGTTATTCAATTCTCATATTTACAAACTGTGGCGAAATTTTATAACATGTTTGGAGGTGTTAAGCCTTCTGGCATGCTTAACTATTTAATTATATCACGTTATTCAATTCTCATATTCACAAACTGTGGCGAAATTTTATAACATGTTTGGAGGTGTTAAGCCTTCTGGCATGCTTATGTTTATATTTTTTCACACCTGCCAACTTGTAAGTTCGATGAAAAATATTTTTCAATACTTGAACTAATTAAAAATTTAAAAGCTAAGTGAGCTAACAAATAGATCATATTTGCATATTTTTTTAAATTATTAATTTGTCATGGTAGATTGAAATGTTTTTTTTCGAAATTTTAAATTGAAGATTTAGTATGTCTACTAGATTGATTTAATATGTATACTGAAGATTTAATAAGATATCTAATGTTGCTGCTAGTAAGAAGTTTTTTTCTCAACCGTACAAGTTTGCAGTATATATATATTTATATATATATATATATATATGT